GCTGATGCTGTTTCATCTCTGCATGATGGCCAACAGTTTGTGACACTATGATGTTGATAAGGTGTAGACACCTTGACCCTGAATGCTTGCTTAGGGAAGTAAGGTTTTCCGGTAACGCTCCCTTCTCTTTCCCTGTTCTGTAGGTCGTTATGATTGTATGGCAGCGAAGCATCAGTTAGAATGGCTGATGCACTGCTGTTGTTGCTTACTATTATTATTACTATTACATAGCTCTCAATAGGAATGGTCACCTAAAGTATATTCGATTTTCTATGCTTCCTTGATTTTTACTCCAGGACAGAGGCGGCTATTGTAAAATATAATCGCATTAAACAGTCGAACAATATGTGATTCGAGTCATACGCTTCAGACCCACCAAGGATTTGCAGCATCCTTTCCGTTTGAGGCGCACTGATGCAAATAGAGTTCTATTAGCGTCAAAGCCCTGGTTGAACAGCGGGATTTCAGAAAATACGCTGTAGAACGTTTATAAAAATATTTCTCGAATCCCTAAATAGAATTAAAATACAGGTACCTAACTGGAAAAAGGTGGCAGGAATGCAAACAGATCATCTAAAACACGAGTTATGGAACTAACGGAAGAACATACGCTTGGCTGTACCCACGGACGTCGCGGATTTTTGGATCAGCGTGTGCTGGATACTACTTTTGCCTCAGATTACTGTGTTAGCAGCGTTTTACCTGTGTGCATTGTGTACCAATATTTTTCTTTTGGCGTATTTTCCAAGCGGTGCAAATTTGGCGACTATTCTTTGGCTCATTCCGGAGATCTCATGGATTTGCCCTACTGCCACCTCTGTCCACCATCTTGGATTTGCTCTAGCTTGTGATGCCGTCTCAAGCTACTTGTGGTTCGTGTTCGAAAGTTGTGGGAAATAAGGCTCGTGCACTTCGGTGCTTCGGCTGTGATGTTTTGTTCCATATTTCGTGCATTGGCTTATCCGCTGACATGTTTCGAAAGTCGCTCGACATCCGTTTTTCAAGTTATATGTGATAAATGTCGCGGTGCAAGACATCAGAATACGCAGAGACCGCAAACAACTACGGGAAAATCTCTTTCAGACAGAAACAAACCGTTCACCACGTGGAAACAAACGCCCTCGTGAAAGTACCTCTGTCACCTCGCCTTCTATTGTCACTCCGCGATCTGCACCACCACCAGCGTCTTCGACCCCGGCCGAGTCCCAGGTTCAATGTTCCCCACCGATGGAAGACTCAGACTCGGAAGCTACGAAATGCCGCTTCACTGATCGGTCCGTGAATTTCTCAGAGCCTGTCTGTGAACTTCTGAACACCATACATCATCATACATCATACACGTTAGCTGGGGGTGGAGAACACCACAGCTACTGTGCTGCAAACTTCTGAACACCGAGGATCCATGGACCACTCAAAAGCGCAAGGACCCACGTAATCGAGTTCAGACGTCACCTGCTGATAAACAACAACCCAATCAGTTAAGCGCCTCTAGTGCTGCTCCCACAGGTACATCACTGATTTTGTTGAGGCGTCATAATCTTATGGTCTTCCACGTACCGGAGTCAAAAGATGAAAACCCTCAGATACGTTATAAACACGATGTTGAGTTTCTCTAGGGGCTCATCGATAGACTCTTGGATGTGGGCGAAGACAGTGTGACAATTAAACAAGTAATCCGACTTGGCCAGAAAACTAACCAGTCATGTCGACCTCTGAGAATCACCTTTGCAAATCCCAATATGCCGCAGCTCATACTGTCTCGTGTCAAGGCTGAGAGGCATAAAAGTTCACATCCGCCGAGATTTGGAACCCGAAGACAGGGATTGTTTGAAGACTGCGGTCATTGAGCTCAAACGCCGTAAAGAGAAAGGCGAGACTGACTTACAAATTGTAAATATTCGGGTGATCAAGAAGGGTATACGAACCCGTATCAACCGGTTGCTCAACCTTCAGGCACGTCCCGCAGTACCTCCCAGGACCTCCGTGTGGCATTCGCCAACGTGTGTAGTCTAATGAACAAACGTGACGAACTGTGCCGCCTAGCTGTCTCGGAGCGGCTGGACGTTTTAGGACTTGCAGAGACTTGGCTGAACTCCGACGTCATACCTCAAGAAGTCGTGTTGTCAGGATACTCTTGTTTCCGATGCGACTGAAAATCAAAGGCTCACGGTGGTGTTCTGTTGTACATAAAATCGTCACTATCTGGCAAATTTACCAGCACTTATCGGAGCGAGGATAGTTTATGCGAGCAATTGTGGTGCACAATCCGCCTCAGGCGCGCAGAACTAATAGTGGATGTTATCTACCGGAGCCCAGTAGACCGTTGTTGCGAGTGGCTACCACATGCACAGAAGCACATGAGCCGCCCTCAATTCTTACTGATGGAGGATCTAAATTCACCTAAGATACTTTAGCCAGACGTTTGACTTCTTCCCGGTCATGGCAACGTTGAGGCTCTATTCGCTAAAATGACTATTGAAATCGGGGCAACGCAACATGTCCTCCAACCGACGCGCGTAACTCCGTACTCAGCATCTTGTCTGGACCTAATGTTTACGAGCTGCGAGCAGAAGCTAAAAGAGATCAGAGTCATCGAACCTCTGGCGAACAGTGACCACTGCTCCATTGTGGCAAGCTTGGAATTGTCGTTACCATATTACAACCAACGGAAGCCGACATTCAACTGTTGGAAGATGGACTTCAACGGGCTCGTCCAAGCCGCAGGTCAGACTGATTGGACATTACCACAGGATGCGTCACTTGAGGCCTGTTGGTCATTAATGAAGGGGAAGCTTAACTCGCTCTGTACTCGGTTCGTTCCCCGTAAGTATTCGAAAATCGGACCTGTCAAACCGTATTGGCTTGATACGGAATAAAGACAGTTAGCGCGACGGCGTCGCAAACTTTGGGATAGATACAGCAGCTCGGGTTGTGATGAAGATTACACGGTGTACAAGAAATAGCGTAACTTATGTAACGCCGCAAAGATCAAGAAACGCCGGCAGTTCGAAGAGGAGCTAGTATCCTCGGCCACAACGGCACCCGAAAGAAGATTTGCCTACTTGAAACGTCAACTGAAACCTGGGGGCAACCTACCGGTCTTAGAGAGCTTAGACGGAAAGACGCTCATTTCAAGCGCGGAGCGCGCGGACGCCTTGGCTACGCACTTTCTCACTGTATTTTTCAGTAAACCGGCGGCGGTTTCAGTACCGGCACAGGTTGCGCAAGTCTTGCTAGACAGCCTACAATGTGATGCAGCCGAAGTGTATCAGTTACTCGTCAACCTCGACCGTTGTGAAAAGTGTCTGCTGTCGTTCTTCGAATCGATGGACGTATTGACGCCAGCGCAACACGACTTTACGAAAGGGCGATCCTGCATCACCAACTTGATGTACGCAAACCACCAGTGGGTACGAGCTCTCAACGAACGGAAGTATGTTGACGCGGTGTACATCGACTTTAGTAAGGCGTTTGACAGAGTGAACCACGAGGTACTCCTTCGTAAACTGAGGACATACAGAATCGGTGGCACGTTACTTCAGTGGTTACACGAGTTTATTGTGGGACGAAAGTTTAGAGTACAGGTCAATTACTACCTGACGGAATGGTTCCATTCGACTAGTGGCGTGCCTCAAGGAACTGTACTTGGGCCAGTATTATTTCTTATTCATATCAACGATCTTCCGCAGCATCTCCAGTCACCATGTGCCCTGTTTGCAGATGATCTGAAAATCTGGAGGATCATTGAGAACCAGGACGACTGCACTCGCCTCCATCATGACTTAGAGCGACTGTCAACGTGGTCCACTGAAATGCAACTCCATCTTAACGCAAGCAGGTCGGAGTTCATCAGTATCACCAGACATCCAGCCACTCGATCATACACCTTGGACGGCCAGTTGATCCATCCCAACACATCTGTCAGAGACTTAGGAGTTCTCTCACGACATGATTTAAGATCATTAGAAAATACAGAGAAATTGTACCGTGCGGGACTTCGTATGCTCTGGGCATTAAGACGCAGTTTCTCCACATGGTCCGAAGAAACCGTCCCTCATCTATTCACCTCGCTCATTAGACCAATCCTTGAATACGGTGCCCGAATTACCATCCGATAATCTAATGGGAAACTGAAAAGCTGGAGAAAATACAGCATATCGCAACTAGAATGATACCGAGTCTACAAAAGCTTCCGTATGAAAAACGTTGTGAAAGGCTCGGACTCTACACACTATCCTATCGCCGAGTAAGAACTGACCTTAGTATGACCCATCGAGTACTATACTTAAATCACTTCTCTATACTGCGGCCAATATTTCACCTGCGGGAACCCTGCAACACCCGAGGACACCGTTACAAACTCAGGATCCCCAGCATGAACAAAGTATCACATCAGCTTTGTATCGAACGAAGGATCGTGAACTTATGGAATACACTACCCGAAGGATTAATAGAGGCCGATTCTGTGAAGTGTTTTGAAAGCCGTATCGACGATTATTTCGGAAACCTGTGCTTTTGTGAAACGATGCACATACAATGCCAAAAGAAGACATTGTATGTCCGGAAATAATGACACTAGTACAAATTCCTAACCGAACAAGGATAAACGATTAACGGACCAGACACAACTGCTGATGATTCACAACTAAATGTTTTTGATTTTTTCGTAATTCGATAGAGTTGTACAGAAACCTTTCTACTTGCTCTTAAATACAGTCTCAGTATACAAACTGATCCATAACACTAAAATAAACAGGGATACCGAGAGTAGTGCCGTGGCGCTTTCACCAAAGCTTATCTGACACCATATATTGTCACAAAGTTAGCAGATAAAGGCGCCGCAGAAGTTTGAAACTCCGCGGAAAACAATAATAATTCAATGGCACTCGTCTCCAAAGTAACTTATTAAAACGTTCGCTTTAAAGAACATAACTCTTGGGCTTTTCATTTTCAACGTGAATTCGCAGTCCGTAATTCAACAGTATAACGAAGTGACTCACTAGTTGTTAGTGGTGACGACAGGTGGGCCGAACGTTGACTGAAATAGTCTCAAGGGTGACATGAAGAATGACATGGCGCTTGTTGTACGCCCAACTTGAGATGTCCGAACGATGAATGGATTTCCGAGGCATCAGTCAGTTTGATCAAAGTAAACAAACAGGTTTCGTTGGGTACTGATTTTGAGCAGATCCGTAATGCCCTGGAACGACGACTGACAGTGAGTCTTAGAATTGGCCGTGAACGTTGGTGGACAGTAAAGATTAGTGAGATAGGGGAAGCCAGTGCTATTGAGAACAACCAAGTATTGTTCTAAGGTATCCGGAAAACGTGTCTAATAAAACCTACAAGTAGGGAAACGGAGCTAATAAAGAATGATAACTGATTTATTCTCAGGAGCATCTACTGGCCCGTTTAAAGAGCTGCCGTGACACTACTGCTCGTTGAAGTATCTGAGCCCACATGGAAATTTGGTGACACGCCTGAGGTGATTCGACAGGAGCTTGCCGCACTGAAAGAGAAGAGGGAAGTGACTCTGCTGAACGGGCATTTTGCTCTATTCAACATCAGCCATCATCATCACCAATACACAATGACTTGGATTGAGAAACACACCGCAGCTAATTTGCTACAATAAAAAATATTAAACATTACAGACTGTAAAAACTAAAAACAAGTAATATAATGCTAAGTATAATATTGTGCATCAGGTATGAGAACGTGGTTAGGGAGGAAGATAAGCGAGATGGAGAGGGACAAAAACCTACAACACAAAGGCCACAGAGATCGGCTTCTCGCCACATCGACTGGTGTATCCAACCAAACGTTTATCGGCCTTCGGACCCCGGCCCGGCTGCTCGCAGACACCAACCCAGTCCAACTCCAAAGTGAGGGACTTCATTCATCTTGACCAAGTCACCGCTTGGCTTTCCCTCTTCTTCCATCCGCATCCCGATCGCGCAAACAACGCATGTCGGTGTGTTAGCATGCGCAACATGTGGCCCAGCCATAGGAGCCTGGTACGTGATAAAATGATGTTGAGCGGTTCATTCGTTCTCTGCACCAAATATACCACGCCGAACACTCATTGCTCAAGACGTGAGCTAAGCTGCGAAGGCAGCGATGATCGGACGTAACTACCCCCTTTATATTTGTCGGTTTGATGGGCCAGGTTTCGCAACCGTTTAGAAAGATTGAACGAACGGCTGTATTTTAAACTCCGTTCTTCAACCGTCTGTTTAACCCTCTAATACGGTTGTGAAACCTGGTCCATCAGGTAAACAGACATAAAGAAGCTAGTCACGTTCAATCATCGCTGCCTTTGAAACTTAGCTCATTTTTGGTGAGAGCACCGCGTGAGCGATGAATGTATTCGGTGTAGCGTAGTTGATGCAGGAAGAGCGAAGGAACCTCGCAGCACCGTTATATCACGCATCAAGCTTCGATGGCTGTGCCACGTGTTGCGCATGCCAGCACACCGACTCCCGAGACGTGCGTTATTTGCGCGACGCGGGTGCGCTGGTTCGAGCCTGCGTAGGGGCAGGGCGACCCTCACAGTATCTTTAGTCCACGTGCGACCAGTGGTGGTTGCGCGGCAGCGAAGCGACGGTACTGCATACAGGCGTACTGCTGATGCCTTTGCCGTGGGTGCGGTTGGAAGTGGATGGGAGGCCAAGCAATGACTTGGTTGAAAGAAATGAAAACCCGCGACTCACAGTTGGCGTAGGTTGGTGCAGCCATACTGCCTGGCTGGGATCCCAAAGACACTTACTGAGATGGTGAAAAGCCGGTTCCAATGGCGTTTATGTTGTGAGTTTCTTACTCAATCCCTCTCACCTTTAGACTACCTTCCAAGTACGGGCTCGTAAAATGCACAATATGATATTTAACATCATTACTTGCTTTTTTGAATTTTCGGTAGTGTAATTTTTCAGAATCTTATCTGTTTGTATCGAGGCACATCAGCTGTGTGTTTCTCACCAACAACTAAGGTGTATTGAGGATGACCTACAAGGTGAGAGCGATGTCGCGGCGGCGCCGCAGGTGACAGAGATTGGTGAAAACGCCTCGGGGTTTTTGTTTACGGTTAGCGATCTCACCCTCTATTCCATTGGCGCTAATATAGCTGCGTAAGTACTTAAATTTCTGAATGACTTCTAGCTGAGCATCACGGGTGGGTCACTGCCAATCGTGTACGAGATTGTATTTCGAAACGATAAACTACCATTGTTAATCTTCCCAGTGCTGCTTGACACGTTTGGGAGCTGCCACACATTAGGGCTGTCGGTGACAAACTACAAGCCAAGTCGCTCACCAAGAAGCAGATACACACCTTGCAAGTCGCGTCCAAAGAACGCCGTTTCCAGGACTTCGTCAATGGCGAAGTTAAATAGGAAAGGTGACAGCAGGCAACCTAGTATTACCCCACTAGAGATATTAAAGGGCAAAGACAGTTTGCCATAAAACATTAACTTGCCCGAACTGCACTCTACTCAAAACTAATTGGGACATTAAAAGGCTGCCTTCGGACTGGCGATTGTCAGCTACCATGCCCAGATTCAGAGTTAACGGGTTTGGTGCGAAAATCATCGAGGCAAAAATATTATCACCAGTGCACCAAAATTTTTACGACATCATTCTTCGACAATTCATTGGTCTTAATGCGAGCCGATTTATTGAAAGACAAACAAGCTTCCGCCCTGGTTGTGGTTGCATCAGTCACGTAGTTACTCTTCGTTAGGTGCTTGAACAGAGACGAACAGATGATCGACTATGGTGGCTTTTCTTGAACGGTAAGCTACTTTTGACTTTTCTGGTCGCATCAACTTATAGCACAGCCTATCCGTGAAGAGTGCTCGGAAAATTCCTTGCCATTTTGACTCCACTGGGACGGCTCCCGAAGCCGAGTAACGGTCAACGGGAAGCTGTCACCTGAGTTTCCCACAACAAAAGGAGATTGCCCATGATCATAAACGAATCCGTTATTGCGGCTTCTTCCAGAGTGAAAGTTCTGCCAGATTATAGGTAAAATATATCTCGTTGAGTCGGACGCACCTTCAAAGTACAAAGCACTGGTTCAGAACTGGTCTGTACGTAACCGATACTAGCTATCAGTGAACAGTCACTGGAAGTGGTGAAGCGGCTTAGTTACACTGGTAGTTGTGTCACCTCTGGTGGTCACAAAGCAGTCCCAGTGGTTTTTCAGAAGTGCAACTATCTATGGAGGCTCGGAATAGCAGTCTGTTCCTCAAACGCAGGGTACATAGTGTCGCAATTAAGCCAATGCTATGGTATAGATCAATGATCTAGCCTGTTCACACGTTTGACAGTTTTTGATCACCGGTGCTTGTGGGGTATTGCCCACACCTGTTGGGAACACCGAATGAACAATACATAAGTCCACTAGTCTATCTTGGGAAGAAACCATCTGGTGTTTGCTGTAGCTTAACCATTTACGGTGGCTGTTATGTCCTCCGTATGTCCGTTAGCAACTAACCTCTGTGTGCATTATAAACCGTCGTTGTACCGAGTTGAAGAAACCGCGCGGTGACCAGTTGGTGACGTGGCATAAAGTAATTGAAGTAGAGACTTGGACAAGCTAATGCGTTCCATCTTCGTGAATGGGGGTCTCGAGATTCTCCACATCAGTAGTTAGAAATCCTATGTGACATGGCGAAGTCGCGCGCATTCGCTTACGTGAAGTTAACTGTTAATACTTATTCAGTCACGATCGATCTTAGGCAGTTCATTCGTAACCTCAGTTTATTTGTATGCTGTCTGCATTGAACCTGTTTGTTACGCTTGTTATATATTTTTCTCGTGGTGAAGCTAGGCACGGCAAATGGATCCACCGAACTTCCGGAGCACAGTTGTTTAACTGAACTGAAGTGAACTGAAGGAGTTAATGTAATCCGTAAAGATTAGCTACCCCACCTCATCAATGAAGTTAAAGTTAGAGTTACGAAAGGTTGGTAAATTGCAAATAGTGAAAATGATATAAGCACTAACGGATATACAACTATATAATTTTAGGAATGAAGTCTAACGATCAGCGCTGGTTAGTCTTATGAAATATATAACAGTAAATATTGCTACCATATTTCAGTAGCAGCTTGATTTCTCTACATACACTTCGTTATATTGTTAGACACCAATAATCTACAAGTGTTAGTTAATACTAGCCATTCACCGTCACTTTCTTCCTCGGTTCCTTTATGCTGGTTGATCGTAGTGTCATTCAGCCGGCTCAATCTTTTGTCAATGTAACGCCGTGTATCAGCCTAGGGCTTTAGCAGGGTGTCCCATGCGCAACAAAAGACATCAGCAGTACACCGTACCGACACTTCACTGACAAGCAAGTATCACCAGTCACTCATTCGGTAAGGACACTGCGAGGGTCGCCCGGTCCCCTACGCAGGCTCGAAACTGTGACCTCTGGGCCACGGCCGCGGGCCGTCGCATTAAGACCAGAAGATGAATAGAAAGAGGTGTGGCGTATAAACAACTGGGTAAACCGGAAGCAAATGTAACAGCAGAGCTCGTCTTGCGAATTTCACATTTTACTGAGGTTACAATCTTACGTAAGTACGTTCGCAGTCCTTAAAGTAAAAGGATTATATTTTCCGGTGGCGTAAGGGCCGTCTGTAAGGGAACCAGCTGGTGGCAATGTAAGGTATCGCGGGTACAAGTAAGGGCTATCTGAGCCCTCAAGTTGATTACCCGAAAACATGTGCGGTTTGGCGTCATATCGGGCTCTCAACGAACGGTAGTCGGAAGGAATAGCGGGCTACAACCAACTTATCCACGCAGTCCCTAACCGACATTCTTGCAGTCTCTAACCGACAAACTACTGGATGTTGGCGAACCCGGGTTACGAGTGAAACAAGTCACTCGTTTGGGGAAACAAGTTGATGGCAAGTGTCGGCCTCTGCGCATCGCGTTCGCCGACGAAACTGCCCCAAGGTTAGTACTGTCCCGCCTCGGTCGCCTAAAGGGGATGAAAATTCATGTCCGGCCAGACCTTGATCCCGCAGAACGAGAGCAGCTGAAGTCTGCCGTGATCGAACTGAAACGACGCACGGACGCCGGTGAAACTAACCTGCGTATCGTAAATTTTCGCACAGTTGCCCGGATACCCCGAATCCGGGTAAACAGAGCAATGACGCTTCAAGCTCGCCCAGCGGTTCCTGCCGCGGATTGCGTG